CAGTGAAAGTTCTTGTTGGGGCATGGAAGTATGTCACATCTCCAGTATTAAATAAATACATTTGCTGATTGCCTATGAGTCGTTCAATGGCTCTGCCTCGACGATTAATGTCAGGACTGCCCCACATAGGATTGTGACCATTGAAATCACCCAGTAAAAGGAATGGTGTTGGCAGCTGTTCAACTAAGGCATCCAATTCATCTTCCTTGACTCTGACATCTGGTGGCAAGTATATAGAGCAAACTGTGACAGTTACTCCAATAGAAATTCTCACTGCCACAGCTTGTAAATCAGTGGTTATTTGTACCAGCAAAGATGGGATTCGATTGGAAACCAAAATAGCCACACCGCCACTGGCTCGGTTGTGGCTGTCATCATCCTTGCGGTAAAGATTAAAACCTTTGAGAGATATATTTTCTCCAGGTTTTAAATGGGTTTCCTGGAGTGCCACACAGAGTGATGAGGTAGATGATGTCAAGTGTTTAATGTCAGAGAAGTTGTTGCGAAAACCACGACAGTTCCATTGGATTATTTTATAATCCATTATGTGTTTGAGGCAGCATTCTTTGCGACGGTATCCCTCTTTAATTTAACAGGCGGTTTCTCTTTTGGAGGTGACTTTGGTTTTGAAACCTCCATATAAGGCTCCTCATCAGATATGTCAGAAAACTCGCTCATAGATTGAGCTTCTGATTTTTTTGAGACTTTTGAGAGGGCTGCTTTCACTCTTTGTTAAGTGGGTTCTTACTGGCTTTTTTAGAACCCACATTTCTGGTTGTTACTCCCGTTTTAGTTACAGATGTTTTAGTCTTTGTGTTCTCCTTTTCTTCTGATTGTGCAGATGCGATCAATAAGCATTTTGCATGGCGAGTAAGAGATTCACTTGGGGATACAGAAATATCTGTTTGAACCCCACATGTCTTAGTGGATTTCAACACACTAGCAAATGTCTTCTGCTGCAATGGTGCACTTGGAGTGACCATGCGACGGGCCTCTGGGTATGATACATTTTTTACAGTTTTCACCCGTTGAATCTCCTTTTCTCTTTGCCATGCAGGGCATTTCCTAGAATAAGCAGGATGGGCATCTTTACAGTTCACACAGTGTGGTGTACTTTTACATTCAGTACTGTCGTGACCTTCAGTACCACACTGTGCACATAAGCTTTTGCCTCGGCAGGAAGTCTGAGAATGTCCAAATCGCTGGCATTTGAAGCAACGCAGCGGATTTGGAACGTATGGACGGACAGGGCAGCGCAGATATCCTGCCGTAACGAAGGATGGCAATGTTGGATTGTCGAACGTGAGAATTAGATGTTTTGTGGGTATCAACTTACCATCTCGACGAATCGAAATGCGTCGGACAGAAGTGACACCTTGGTCCAACAGGACAATCTGAATGTCTGATTCGTCTTCAGACATCAAATCAAACTCAGATATCACACCACGTGATGAGTTCAAACTTCTGTGTGGTGTGACTAATATTCCCATGTCTCCAAGAGTCTTCATTGTTGAAAGCTTTGTTGTTTGTTGAGGAGAGGCTGTTTCCACTAGTAGGTCCCCTGACCTCAATTTTTGGATCTTTTTTAAATGCCCAATGGTTGATTCAAAAAGCTTTTGAATCAAAAAAGGAGAACACTTAGCGAGGGGTTTTTCTCCAGTTGCGTGCACTATTAAGTAAGCAGGTTGGCTGGAGGTCTTTTCTTTTGTCGTCGATGTTGTCGCTTTGTCAAAATGTTTAAAAGATTTTGGGTCCATGATTGATATTTAATTATTCGGCTCCTAGTGACCCCCCACCATGGGGCCCAACAAGGGGATGCTGTCACATGGGGGACTCCCATAGACTGTCACACCAGGGTTTCCCAGGAGCTATACCATCACAATACAGTCGAGAAGAGCACATCTTGTCTGACATGTCCGCCCGGTCTGCATCGATCAGTTGACTCCAGGCCGAGGTCAAATGACTCAACGACCAGCCGATTGACTCAAACGAAGCCTGATTTGAGCCTCCCGTTTATCCGAAGCAGGGGCCAAAGCAGTGTGTTGGGGACGTTATGTTGCCCCTCAACTACCAGGATCCCCTTTTCTGGCATACGGGACACCACGCACGGCAAACACGTGGGTGGGCGTTCAGATCCCGGGGATGGTAAAGAAGAGTTACTAAACCATCTCTGGGAGGTCCCCTCACCACGGACAGGAACCCACATCGAGGGGTATTTCAGTTGGCACGATTTAAGGCATATTTATAGTGAGGGATCCAAATTCGCAAATTTCCATCATCAGGGCCCAAGATGTCAAAAGTAATCATGGAATGTTCGGTTAAACTATCCTCAGTAATCACTCTCCAGTTGATAATTCTGTTATAAAAACCCTCACTACAAACAGCAACATCTATCCAAGAGTTACCTCTGTGTGAGGTAAACGTCGGCAGAGAAAAAGGATTATTAAGAAGGAGCAAATCATGCAGTGCAAAAAACTGTTCCAATATTTTCCCTCGTCGATCAATACGTTCCCCTCCCCATGCCGGGGAATGTGCATTTAGGTCTCCTGCTAATATTATATATGTTCCTCGAAATGCATGAATAATTTTTTGCAACTCTGCTACAAAATCTTCTGTATTTGCATCTCCCGGAAAGTATATGTTTATCACCACTATTCTGCTTTGATTAATAAAGATCTCAGTAGTATTAATATATTGACTACAAAATTTTATATGTTGCATGACTAATAAGTTTGTGTTAGGTACTAGTGTGATTGCCCATGGGTATCCATCAGATCCTTTTAAAATCGGACAGAAGGTAGGGAGACATGCAGGAAGGTTCCTTTGAAAATATGGCTCCTATACAAGGATTAAATCAAAATTAATAATATGCTTACAGAGGAGAGAAGTAGCAGATATACTTTTCCCTAGATTCATTTGCAGTATACGAAGATTGTTAAAGTTCTTTTTTTACAGTTGCATCATGAATGAGCCACCACCTAAGAGGCTAAAGCTAAGTGAAACACCCTGCTCTTCTTATTCAGCAAGTTTTTTATTATTGCACATGACATTTTATTTTGTGGTAATTTAATGATTATTGTTTCATCGGGTAACAGTCCAAACAGAAACAGTAGTCGTAGCTACCAAAACACAGGATCATCAAAATGCTCCAGTGGGCACAAGTCTTTCTGTAAGTTCATAATAATTTCAAAAAACTATAGTATAATTTTGAATAATTGGTTGATATTTCTTTATTTTATTTCCAGGAGAAAACACCAAATAATCCATGTTCCCAGTGTTTCATGAAGAAAATAAATGAAGAAAGCTTTGTTGACAAAACATTACTGGCATGGGAGTTTTACCATGATGCTGATAATCGAATATTAATTACTGCTCCACCCAGATTCTGCAAGTCAACCAATATTGACATGCTGCAGGAATGTTTTGGAATAAAACATGATGCCAATGGACAGCAGATCAAGAATGTAACAGAAGAAAATGGAAACTATGTGCCTCTGGAGGGGAGCATGTCAGAAAGTTGGATGGCTTTTAAGAAAATGAATATTTACAAGTGCCATTGTGAGCCAAAGTGCACGATTGGCTTATGTCCATACAGAAAATGGTTCTATGAACATTGTGGTCAACATCCTATAATTTCTGTCGACTTTAAAGGCTTACCGGGGACATGCTTGGTTTATGGTTAAAGTTAAAAAATATGTTAAAATTTGTAGTGCTTTGGAATTATCTATACAATTGTTTGTCAAAGAATTTTTTTAATAATTGGTTGGTTTTAGTATGTTTATTATACACGTGTGTGGAAAGGTTTCTTAAACTTGATTACTACAAATGTGTACAAAGTTTACCACCCCTACCCATGGAAATATCATTGTAATTACCACCAGCGGTTATTCACTGAAGAGGGACTGAAAATATTAGACCAGCCGGAAATGCATTTGATGTAGTCTTTACAAAATAAATTTAATTTGCCAATACGATTGCTGTGAGATTTGTCTACCAAGAATAATTTTGGATTACAGAGACTAAAATCGTCATATTAAATATATATATTACTGGGGACATGCTTGGAAGGAGTCTTGATTAGATTGAACAGTATTATCGATGAGAAATTTAAAAAACATTCATATCTGATTACAAAAGCACCAAAAANCGCTGAATCCAAATATGAAATTAGTTCTCTCTATCAGCTCTACTTTTTTAGACCTGTGTTTTTTAACGTACAGTGCTACATGAAATGTGCAGCTCTAATTCCAGTTTGTATAGTTCTAAATCACATATTCAAGAATTGATTCCTGTATATTTTCCCCATTGTTAGTCTGCTGTCCAGTTAGTTCCAGGTAAATCCGCCAAATGAAGTAAGCATTTGATAACAAATTGACATTCAATGCTTCAACTAGAGTTGAGGTAAGTTTGTAAGTTCTAGCCGTGCAGTGACTAGATCAGTGTTTCCCAACCTTTTTTGTGCTATGCCCCACCTAAGCCTTTCTAAAATTCTTATGCCTCCTAATGTATACACTTAATTGCCACACTGTTTTGTCGTAACCATGATAAAACCTGATCCTTTCATCAAAGTCTCTTGTACTTTCCAGTCGTTGCCAAACGCAACCTGAAACACAACACGTGTCTGTCCACCTCAAGGTATGGGCAAAGAATGTTCTTTCTCCTCTTTCATCAGCATCAGGACTTCATTCATCTCTTTGTTCTCAGCGGTTCCAAGAATTGTTAATCCCACCTCAAGGAAATAGGGTTATAAAAGGAAAGTTCTAGAAGAAAAAGGAAACAAAGAACAAAGTACTGTGTTCTAGATGCTTTTATTTGTGTTGTTGAATAGAAATAAAATGAGTTCAAGTAGAAGTAGTTGTGTAAATCATTCTGATGTGTTTTGCTTCATATGTGGAGAATATACATTAAAAGAAAACAAAGTATTAGTGACTTTGTAAAGAGATCTGTAAAGTATCTTGGATACTTTGGTGTTAAACTTGGTGATCAGGATAAAAGCTAGGCATCGCATCAGGTCTGTAAAACTTGTACAGAACATTTACGACAGTGGACTACTGGGAAAAGAAAAAGTTTGAAATATGGCGTAACGATGGTTTGGATTGAACCCAAAAATCACTTCAATGACTGTTATTTCTGTCTAGTAAATATTAATGGAATCAATCGTAACAACCGTAGCAAGTGGACTTATCCTGATTTAGTCTCTGCAAGATGCCCGGTCCCTCACTCGGAGGAAGTGCCAGTTCCATCATTTCACCAGCTACCAGAGCTCCGTGAGGACGAGTATCCCTCTGATCCTAATGAAGATGACTGTGATTACGAGAGAATGTCATCAATTCCTCAATGTTTCAACCAGGATAAGTTAAATGACCTCACCAGAGATCTCAACCTGCCAAAAGAAGCTTCTGAATAATTGGCTTCTGGGTCAAAGGAGAAAAATTTACTGGAGCAAGGAACCAAAATTACCTTTTACCGTACAAGAGAAAAGGATCTGCTACCCTAGCCAAGGTAGAAA